AAAAAAAAAAAACGTTTAGTGAATGTTAATAGAATTAATTTTTGGTACTTAAGAAATTACAACGATACAATTACACATGACGTAATATCAAATCACATGCAGCAGCTTTTATAGTATTACAAATAGATATTGTTTATTCGACAAAAAAAAAATAATATAAAAGCATTCATTCTAAATAATCCCCCCCACGTACCCCGCGAATATTAAATACGAATAAAGATACTATATATTAAATAACATAAATAATATGTGTGTATATATATATATATAATTACTATCAGCTTTAAATACTTCGTACTAAAAAAATACAATTGAGCTTTAAACAAAAATTTAAAAAAAAAAAAAAAAAAAAAAAGAAATGTAAATGTTAAATATATATTAATATATTATATGGATATAACTTATCATTTAATTGTAATTTAGAATGCAATAATTAATTAAATTACAAACGTAAACAATTCTACGTTAATATATTTTATTTAATAATACTCGAGAAGTATTAGAAAATATTTATAAAACACTTTTTGTAACATACTCGCAACTATATTTAATAATAATTTGATGTGCGTCTTCGAAACAATTACTATATAACTGTATAAAGTTATTTTAAGTAAACGGATGTAGTATTGTCCTTATAAAGAATCTGATACATACAATTGTAAAGCCTTGACACGTATAATAAAAACATGTCAATAGATTTACAGTTGCAATTATTGCCGAATGAATACCACATTACCGATAGTCGATAAAAACATATCGATATTATTGAACTCTACATTACCGACAGTGGATCATATAAAATAGAAGATTTCTATTTTATCGATGATACGTATACAAAACAGATGAATAAAAGCTTACAATATTAATTGAAAGATCGCGTAAATAGTAATTGTAAAAATTATATACAGTATACACCAATCTGTAAAAATTCCAACTTTCGATGGTCGTCTAATGTAAGAACTCTACATTACCGACAGTGGATCATATAAAAATAGAAGATTTGTATTTTATCGATAATCCATACACAAAATAGATGAATGAAAGCTTACAATATTCATTGAAAGATCGCGTAAATAGTAATTGATGAAAAATTATATAGAGTATATACCAATCTGTAAAAATTCTTACTTTCGATGGTCGTCTAATGTAAGAATGATACACCATAGTACTTCTCACTCATCGTGACGCCGCGTACTGTGTGACGTTTTCTAAAAAATTCGAATCTATTGAACTTTGTACAAACAGTTGGGTGATATATCTAAACGTTCATCGAAAAGATTAATATATTTTTCTTTTCTTTTTTGTTTTTATTTGTCTTTTATAATAATAACATTGGTGTTAAATTAATTATTATTAAATCAACCATATAACACAAAGTTTACGATTAAAGATTGCTAGTATTATTTCTCATAAGAATTTTAAGGAATATAACCTCTGACCAAAAAACAAGGTTTACGAAAAGGGTGAATATATATATATATATATATATAGTGGTGTTATTACATGATCAATTATTTTTTTCTATCCCCTTCCTATATATATATATATTTCTATTATAATTTATTTTCTTCATAAGTTGTGTCCTCATTTTCCTATTTTTCTTACTTTTTTTTTCTTTTAATCACAATCAATCCTTATTGTATCTCTATTCCTTATAGTACTATCTCAATCTTGCCTTCTCACTTGCACTTCTACTACTACTACTACATAACGGTGCCATTATAAGAGAAAGAAGAGTGAAACAAGAAGTATTATATTGTGTCGAGTCGTGAAAAACGCTCGACTATCAAAGGTAAGCTCTGAAAATAATAAAATCTTTTTCTCTTTTTTATTTATTTTCTTTGTTTTATATTCTTTGTCTTATTTAGTGTGTACTATTATCTACTAACGTAATCTTTTAATTAACTTTGTTATCTATTGTGATATCATTATCATCTATCACATAAGAGACAAATATTTTAATATAAAAATTTTTTCTTACATATTAGAATATTATTCCCCCTTTCCCACCCTCCCCTCCCACTCCTATCCTATCCTATCCTAATTACATTATTTAAAAACATATGATACGTTTGTAAATGTAATTTATTATTTTTCAAATGTAGACACATGCACTGACTTCTATTTTTGCTGCTACTAACTTCGTCGAATCCTCTCAACATCCAAAACATTCTATTTCTAGATTGGTATCCGGTTGTTTTTTAAATTTTAAATCACGCGCATGCGTATCGAATATAATCGCTTGTTTAGTAATCTTAATTTATATTAACTTAATTATTATATTACAAATGTATGAAAGTATTGCACGTTAGATAATTGTTTATTGAAAAAATATAATAAATTCGCGTGTCACTATTGCAAATTATAAATTGTTTTTTTACAATCTTTTAATAATTTATCATTTATAATTGAAAAAAAAAACAAAACAAAACAAATTTCTAATGTAAACGATATAAACGTAGATTGTTTATTATTATTTGTTTGAAATATTTTATAAATAAATTCAAGAATCTCGATTATTAATTGAATTTAAAAATATCAACAAGAAAAGAAAAGTTCATTGCGAAATAATAATCTTTTAAATATTTGTACACCTTGCGTTCCTCGAATTGTATGACATTTTTTGTTTGTTTTTTCTTTTTTGTTTTGTTTTTCTTTTTTCGTTGTTTATTGAATTGCAATTTTTTTTTTCACGTATTCTCGCAGAATATCAATTAACCTATGTAAAGCTGATTAAACACTTTTTATTATTGACCTCTCTCTTACGAAACATAAAAACAATTTTTCTATTGAAATTTACTACTTGCCATACACAATGGTACATTTCAATAAATTATCGAAGTTTGATGTGAGAAAATATGATTAAATACAATTATTCGTATATTTTTTTATTAGACGTGTAATAATTAATTTCATTCGAAACACGATCAAACATATTTAAATTCATTGCATCAAAATCTTCATTTATTTTTATTATCATCAGTAAAAAATCAACCTTTCCTTTTTTTTCTTTTTACGATATTTCCATCTCTTCTTGCTTTTAGAAAACAAAATTACAAGTTATGGAACAAGGACAAGTATAATAATAAAATTATATAACTGTGTACGATCAATACAAATTTCCTGCATGACTCGAAACAATGTAAAAAAGAAAGAAAGAAAGAAAAAAAAAAGATATTGAATGATTTTTTATTACTTGTATTTTAATTACAATCAAAAAGAATTTATATATATATATNCGTAAAACTTCAGCACTACTAGAAAAGTGCACTAGCTGTATATATATAACATTTATGTATATATAAAAGAAAAATATTATATATATATATATATATAAATGTATGTGTACACGTGTGTGTAGATGCGTTACACTTCTAAGAATCTAAAATCAGAAAATTGATTTGAAATGACAAGAATATTTGATTCTTTTTTCTTTTTAAAATACTAAGAAAAAACAGTTGTAAACTTTTTCCTTGAGAAAGGATGTTTACTCATATATAAATTATTTCGAATTAATTTAAATTTATGCGCATTAATGAATATGAAATATATTTTAACCACGCAATTTGTGAAGAATATATAATAGTAGAAAAACAAAATTAATTTAATCAAATTTAAAATAATCGTTACATTTCAAAAGTAGTATTTTAACATTCAAGAGAAAAAAAATAAGTGTAACAGATTATAACAAAATTATATTTTATTACACAAATATAAAATATTATATATTTGATATTATTTAATTAATTTATATATTTTCATTATATTTATCAAATATAATACTTATTATAATAATACTTTTGATATATAAATGATTAATTAAATTAACTTAATTGAGAAATTGAAACCCCTTCGTTATCTAAGTTTTTTTATGACAATTCACACGTTTATATCTCTTCTCAATGATTATAACTCATTATAAAAAACAATAACAAAATGAAACGATTAAAACGTATAATCGAGACAAATGAGTCACGTGATGTACAATGATTCAAGAATTTTCTTGGTCCCCAATCGTTAATCGTAGAATTAACTTTTTATTTTTCTACTCTGAGATTTGATTTACAAGTTACATAATTTTAAATAAAACCGTGTGAAAAAAAAAGAACAAAAAAATATTCATTCCAACGAAATTTAGAACATACACAAAATTTCATTAAATTAACAATCTAATTAAACATTGTGTATAATATTTATAACATAATATCAATCAATCGTGTAATACGTCCTTGAATGTGCGTTATTAAGGAAAAAAAAAGAAAAAAAGTCAATACTATTTTGTAATGATAGTTAAAAAAAAAAAAATCACGATCAATGATTCAACGAATGATTCATTATTTATAATTGCAATGAACTCATGACTAAACTTATTTCCAATTATTAACTGAGATCATAAAAATTCTATAATTATCTATCGTACGATATATAATTTGTATTAAATGAATGCAACAAAACCACGATATAAGAAACGTCTTGCATCAAATATTTCTCATTGATTTTAATAAACACGTTTTATTAACTCTCAAGTTTTATTAATAATTAAAGGATAGAGAGAGAGAAAGAGAGAGAGAAAGAGAATTCTGTGTAATGATAAAATAAATGTTTCGTTGAAATTCATGACTCGTGAATTGTAAGACAATTCTTAATAACTTTTAACCGTATGAATTACTTTTAATTCACGATTTAATTCAATTAACCCTTGCCCTATGCTCGATCGTCATTAAAATGACAATCGTTGAAACTCACACCGATATTTCGACAAACAAATATATACTTGCAAAATTTTCACAAATTTTTACTTTCAATGGCAACAACCGATATTGCTAAAAATTTGTTAATCTTTTATTATATTCACACAATATTTTTATACTTCTTTCAATTGTTTCAATGTTATTGTTTTAAAAAAAAAAATCTAAACAAATCTATTAATACTCTCTTTAAAGGGGGGGGGGGGGTTAGAATATTATTTTCAACAGTTTGTATTGTTGATTTTTAAATTAAATTTAAAAATACGAATACAGTGTGTGTTAAACTGAACATTGAAATAATCACGTTACCAAAGAAGTATTGAAGAAACATTTAAATCTATGGTGTTGTTATTCTACAATTATATTTATATAAATAATTGGAAATAATATTTAAGAAATTTTTTCTCAATGCACACATTATTTCGTTTGAAAAAAAGGAAAAACAATTTATAACAAAATTTAATCATTGCAAATTATACAACGAGAAATATTTATCGTACGAGTATACTGATTACGAACGTCCTTGGTATTCTAAAGTAATGAACATAAGTTTTATTTTATTTGTAACGAATGTGTTTATCATTGAACGAAAAGAAATTCAAAGAAAAAAAAGAAAATTGATTTTTTTAGAAATACTTTAATCGTTTTATCTCTTTCAATGCAGTTCAAAGGGATGCTACCAAAATGGACCTGGATCATTGTTAATCTTTTCATATACGCCATAGCAACGTCATATGGCGATCATGCGAAACCAACCATAGAATTAACGGAACTTGGTTACGAGGATACTTGTTATGATACTGCTACTGCCGAATGGTCATTCATCAATTATTTTACAAATCAAACAATTTATACGATATGGGTTAGTAACATTTACAAATTATATTTCTCATAATATTTTTTAATTATTTTTCACCCCCTTTTTTCTTAGCTTCAATCCAATTATAACCAGTTATTTTTAATTAGAAGCAATTTAAACACATTCCATAAAGTATGACTGGTATACGGCCCACATGAAAATTTTTTTCACCATTTATATGTGAAATACGATTCATGTGGTTTCTATGAAAAATTATTAAAAATGAATATATACATATATTATACATTTATATATTATTTATATTATATATATTTATATATTATTTATATTATATATATTTATATATTATTTATATT